TCCGTTATTCCATGGCTCTCTGTTCACGGCTCCCGGCTAACGTCATCTAGCACGACGGACCTGCTCTGCCCCAGGGCTGCTCTCCGCAAATCAACCGCTCTTCCCAGCAGCCCTCAGGGTGCCTCCGCAGAGGCGAGGCAGCCGCCCAGGCGCCGCTGGTGTGCAGTCCCCCACCCCCGACAGCCGGCCCCGTGGCCCATCTTCACCCCTCCAGGCTGAGGAGCAAATGGGGACCGAAGCTCTGCTAGAGCAGCAGACCTTCCGGGTGCTTCTGTGCAGGACGGCGGGGCTCTTGATGGTCCATGCACAAGCTGGATGAGGACAGTGGTGTCACTGTCTCCAGCCCACAGCTCAGCCTCCACAGGAGCCCGCCTCTCCAAAGCCAGTCTGGTCACTCAGATGTCCTTCCACAGGACTACACCCCAAACATGAGGGTGTCTGTAAGAGAGGCGCACCCGGAGAGCCACGTGCTCTTACGCGTTTCTTGATCAGACGTACAATGCGGGTTCTCCTTTGCTGAGACAAACGTCTCCCTTGGCTGCAAATTCACCTTCCGTGTGCTAGCCCTTCTGAACTCGAAACACCTCTAAAATCACTCTTGGAGGACAGGGATGGCCGTCCTGACCTTCAGCCAGTCTTGGAGGGTCCATCCAGGGTGTGAAGAGGGGGAGAAGGTAAACAGCAGAGGACGAGGCGGCGCTGTGTCCATCAGAAAGCATAAGAGACAGAAGAGTGCAAAGCTAAGCCCCACGGGGAGGACGTGTGTCAGTGAGGAGATCACACGGGACATGGGTCCCACTCCTTCTCCTTCTTAGGGGACAAACAGATACAGACGTCCTTTTTCTTTTAAGACTGGCATCAGACTCTTGTCAATTAATAGCTGATCTATTAAGGCTTAAGCTGAGATCTGGTGAAGTCTTGCCCTAGAGAATCCCAAATTATCAATTAATCTGATAACAGAGGCAGAAATCTCAATCTCTCTCTATAGAGGGAGGGAGCATAATCTCGTAGTGACAAAGAGTAAGAATTATTGACACAAAGCCAGGTTATCCGCATCATATACCTTTCATCCAATTGAGGCAGCAAAAGAAAAAGGGAAATGAGCCACGATAACGATTTTTTTCTCTGACCCATGCTTGTAGCAAACATTCAAGTCCCAAAGGTCTGGCCCAGGAGAGCTCTACAGGAAAGTAAACTCTGAAGGCAAAGAAAAACCCGCCCCTAACAGGGGCCTCGTTTTCTCGTAACAGGGTAAGAGAAAATGCTAATGCAACAGGCCTTTCACACAACGTGGTCACTTTCCTCGGAGAGTCACCCCGAGGCAGAGGACGGTCACGCGGACTGCCCTGCTCTAAACGCACCGTGCTCTGTTGTTCACGGGGACACAAGGGTGCCACTTGGAAGAGACTTTCAAATGATGAGAACCCCTTTCCTGGGCCTGTTGTGGGGCATCCACCCTGCCTCGTGCTGCCGCTGAGACCCAGGACCCCAGAAGGAAGAGCGGCAGCGGTGTCTCCTTGCGAGCAACCTCACCGCACGCTGGGCACGAGCCCCTGCATCTCGGGCCCGCGTACCCCTGATGCCCTGGCGGCCGGAAAGAAGGCTCCCAAAGCAACTTGCATGGCACACACACGTGCACATGCACACAACACACAGATGAATACAGACAACACACATGTGCACACACAGGTGAATACAGACAACACACAGATGAATACAGACACTGCACACA